TAAGCTATCATGGAGGGCTCTTTGGCCTCGTAGCTGCCGCTAATCTGATATGCAACTAGCTGAGAGTCTGTTTTCAGGCAGACATGATCGACTTCCAGGGAGATGCACAATTCTAGGCCGGCGATTGCTGCCTCATATTCGGCTTCGTTGTTTGAGGCCTTAAAAGAAAATTTTAGTGCATACTCAAAGGATTTGCCTTCGGGAGAAGTTATCACTACTCCTGTCCCCGAACCGTTTTCGGTGGAAGATCCATCCGTAAACACGGTCCAGACTTTCTTTTCATTGTCCAGCGCTTCTTGGTATGAGCATTCGGCCAAGAAATCCGCTAGAGCTTGAGCCTTAATGGCAGCCCTCGGACGGTAGCTGATGCTGAATTCGGTGAGCTCAAAAGCCCACTTGGCTAGCCTACCAGATTTTTCAACCTTGCCGAGAACTTTTTCCAACGGCTGATCAGTTAAGACCACTATCTGATGGCAATCAAAATAGGGCCTCAGCTTCCGAGCAGCTACTACTACCGCGAAAGCGACTTTCTCGAGTAGAGGGTAGCGAGTCTCGGCATCCGTCAGTGTATGACTGACAAAGTAGATCGGTTGCTGACTTTTACTTTCTTCCTTCAGCAGTACTGCACTGATGGTGGCTGGGCTAACGGCCACATACAGGTACAAAGTTTCTCCTTCAGCTGGGCTAGCCAGCGTTGGGAGTTGAGCCAGATGCTCCTGAAGCTGCTTAAAGGCGTCTTTTTGCTCTTCCTCCCAAACGAGCTCTTTTGTTTTCGGGAGTTTCAGGGCTTTGAAGAAAGGTAACCCCTTATCCGAAGCTCTGGAAATGAACCTCGAGAGGGCTGCCATTCTTCCGGTGAGCCGCTGAACATCCTGCTTTGTTTTCGGCTCAGGAAGGTCGAGCGCTGCTTTGACTTTGGAGGGATTGGCATCAATCCCCCTTTTCCTGACTATGAACCCAAGGAATTTCCCTGACTTCACGCCGAAGACACACTTCTTCGGATTCAGCTTCATTTGATGCTTTCTTAAGGTGGCGAAAGTTTCAGCCAGGTCCTTAACATGGTCCTCAGGTCTTTTTCTTTTGACGATCGAATCGTCGACATAGACTTCCATGTTTCGGCCCTTTTGATCGGCAAAAACTTGATCCACCAGCCTTTGATAGGTTGCCCCCGCATTTTTCAATCCGAAGGGCATCATTTTGTAATTGTACACCCCAGCGTTCGTGACGAATGTTGTCTTTGCTCGATCGTCGGGGTGCATGAAGATCTGATGATACCCCGAGAATGCGTCCATGAAACTAAGCAAGGCATGGCCACTTGTCGAATCGACCAGCTGATCGATCCTCGGCAAGGGATAGAAATCCTTCGGACAAGACTTATTTAGGTCCGTGAAGTCAACGCACATCCTCCAGGTACCATTGGCCTTCTGAACCATCACCACATTTTCCAGCCATTCTGGATATTGGCAAGGTTCGATGAAGCTTGCCTCCAGCAATTTTTTGACCTCGGCTGCGATGTCTCGGTTCTTATTAGCGGAGTAATTCCGCTTCTTTTGCTTAATTGGTCGACACGCTGGGTCAACATTAAGCTTATAGGAGATGAGGTCTGGACTTATCCCGGGCATATCAGTTGCCGAGAAAGCAAACACATCTTTGTTGTCCCAAAGGAGCTGAATAAGTTCACAACGGGTGTTCGGATCAAGGTCCATCCCGATTGTTACACATTTCTCAACGTCTCCTTCGGCCAACTCAACTGTTTCAGTCTGTTGGTCCATGTCCATTGCTGATGGACTAGACTCTTCATAATCTGGCCTGCTGCCTATTTCAGCAGGTGTCCCAGTCTTTTTGTTCTTCGGCTGGCTCTCTGAGTCTTGCTGTTCAGCTGAAGAGCTAGCCTTTTCCCTTTCGGGCCCTTTACCTCTGGGTACAGATCCTTGGGCCGAGGCACTTAGGCCTTTCGGCTTTTTTGTGCTTGGCTCTCTTTCTTTTTCTTTCTCCCCTCATCCTTGTCGTCATCTGGGCGACTACTGGATGGCTTGAGGTAGTTGCACCTTCGGGCGTCCTTTTGGTTGCCCTGTATCCTTTCGGGGAAGCCGGCATCTGAGACGTAAATCATCATCTGATGATAAGTTGAGACGACCCCTTGGATCTCATGAATTATGGGTCTCCCCAAAATCACGTTGTACACTGAAGGAGCGTCAATGACCAAAAATTCAATCATGACGTTCCTGGCTGCCTCATCGCAGCCGATGGTGATAGGAAGTGTCACCTTCCCATCTGGATAAGTTGAAGCCCCGTTGAACCTGGATACCGGGTAGGGTACCGGCGTAAGGTGCTTGGGCTTCAGCTTGATTTGATTGTAGGCTTTTCGGAACAGAATGTTTGCTCCGCTGCCACCGTCAACAAGGACCTTACTGACGTCGTGGTTGTCCACCGTGGCGATGATCACCAACGGATCCTCGTGAGGGAACGTTATCCCCCGGCAGTCGGCGGCTGTGAACGTCATGTTCGGCACCGGCGATTGGGGAGACTGAATGTCAGCGTTGTTCACCTGGTGAGTCAAAGACCTAAGGTGTCGCTTGTGCTCCCTCCGAGAGCATATTCCTCCCGAGATAACATTGATCGGAGAGAATTTCCCCTCCGGCTTTTTACTGTTCTTCCGGGGGAAATCGAGGTCTTGCCGAGAGTCCTTTGCTGACTTCTCGGACTCTTTTTTCTCGCGGTGATCCGCGATGTATTTTTTCAAGTATCCCTTCCGGACCATGTCCTCTATCTGGTCCTTCAGTTGGATACACTCCTCAGTGTTGTGTCCCGGAGACTCGTGGAACTCGCACCACTGATTTTTATTTTTTCGCTGATACCACTCTGGGAGTGGTCTCGGCTTTCGGTAACTCTGCTCCTCCTTCGTCACGCTGTAAATTTTGGCGCGTGGAAGAGAGAGCGGAGTGTAGGACTCGTATCTGCCTGTGTATGAGGCAGATTTTTCCTTCTTTGGGTCGCTGGCCGAAGATTGCTCCGAGGCCTTTGACTTTCCCTTTGCCTTATGGCCTTGGCCTTCAGACAAGGGTATTTGTCTTTGTTTCCCTCCCCCGAATTGAGGTTGGGTTTTCGCTTTGTTCCATTCTTCTGCTCGGATGAACTTATCCGAGGCATTCAGAGCTTCCTCCAAGGTCTGCGGGGTATGCATGACCATGAAGTCTAGGAACTTCCCGGGCTGAAGGCCATTCTGCATTGCAAAAACGGCTAGCCCCTGGTCCAGCTGAGAGACGCTGGATGACTCGTTACTGAAACGGGTCAGATAGTCTCGGAGGCCTTTGGTTTCCCCCTGTTGCAGACTCATGAGTTCTGCAGTAGTCTTCTCTCGGCGGTTTGCCGTGGAAAACTTGCTCCTAAATTTGGAGGACAGATCATCCCACCCTGTTATGGAGCCTTGCTTTACTCCCTTGGAGATCCACGCTTGCGCGACCCCCTTGAGAGTGGTTGGGATATATTTGCACCAAGTCGCTTCGGATCTGGGGCAAAGATGCATATGAGTCTCATACGAGGCCACGTGGTCCTTCGGATCCGAGGTCCCGTCATATGTGATGTGCGACGGTATTTTAACTGTGGGCACGTGCTCTTCCAGTATCCATTGCTCGAATGGCGAACTGGCGGGTAGCATAACGGCCTTGCCCTTGTTCCTGGCCGAAGGGACCGCGCTCCGCCCTCTTAGAGAGGTAGGAGTGGTTTTCGTCCCTGGCTGGGAAGTCTGGGCCTCGGCCGCAGGGAACGAGAGGCGACTGCGCACGCTCGGTTCCTTGCCGCCGAGTCGGTCGAGGACGCTTCGGCGAACAGTCTTAGGTTGTTCTCGGTGAGTAGATTCTGGCCGAGAAGCTGAGCTGCTGCTCTTATGCGTTTCTGGTCGGGAGGATGAGGATCCTTTGAAAAATTGAGGGTTCTTTTTCCTCTCTTTTTCATTTTTCCAGGTATCCTCTTCCCACTCTTCCAGTTCCCGGAAGGAAGGAAGCTTCCCACCATCATGGTCTAGCTTCCTCCGCTGATGTCGGGTATGCGGAGGAGTTCGATCACGAGGTGGTGGCATATTTTGTGCCCTCATTGCCTCCATGAGCACTGCTAGCGCTCTTGCCACCTCCTCCGAGCTGGGCCCCGTCAAAGGGGTCCTCGGCTGAGTATGGGAATGAGGGCGCACAGTCGATGGTTGGCTTTGGGGCACTGAATGTGTCCTATGATCGGACTCACCCCTGCTAGGCCGAGAGTGACTCGGCCTATGATGAGAGTCATGAATTACGGGATAAAGGGAATCCTCCTTGTATGATCCTCCCCCCGAGCTGGCACCCTTGGGAGAGTTCCGGTCCGGCGAGGGCGATGGTGTAGGGGTTTTAGGCTTTTCGCCCGCTCCTTGACGGAGGCCTTTGCTCTTGCGGTTCTTAGCCATTGCTACTAAGATTATTGCAAGATGATCTTGGTTAGAAATTTGGCTTAAAGATTTTTGAAAGTCTTCCCCACAGACGGCGCCAAATTGTTTCGGGTGAAAACAATGGGACCTTGCCGAAGGTCCGATGAAGTGGTGAAGACTAGATTCGATCCAAGAAATGTTGGGCCGAAGGTTTCCTGCACAGTAAACACACGTAAACTAGCCTCAGGGGTGTTGCCGAGGAAGGCCCCTCCGATACTAAAGTCAGTACAGTGTGTAGAAAGAGAACACTATGCAAGAGAATTAGTTGTTTGAGGCTTTGCTTGAATGAATGTAAAAATGTGATATTGATGGCTTTTATACCTCTTCATACATGGAGAAGTTGGGCCTTAGCCCAATTGGCTTGCCTTGAGGACTGATCTTTGACTTTAGCACAATTGGAGAGATGAACCTTGACCTTGGGCTTTTAATTGAATCATTTAATGCCTAAGCCCAATTGGACTAAATTGGACCCAAACAAAGTAATTTGTACATATAATTACAAATTAATAGAAGATGAGTAGTATAAAAGAATAGCTCATATTAGTATATGCTGGATGATTATGCTGGACTCGGCCCTCTTCCACAAAACATGGCATTTATCAAGCCAAGAGATCTTGGTGGCAAGATTTTGAGGAAGAAGGAATGTCTACCATCACCACCAAGCTATGTTAGATTATCTAGAACCGACGACAACGACAACGACAACGAAGATCATCAGAGAGACGATAGCAATGAAGGAGGAACCCCCAAAGGCCATGTTCCGGTCATGGTCGGCATGGAGGAGAAGGATGTCAAGCGATTTGTGGTTCCGACTCGGTTTATGAAGGATCCTTCCATTGTTACGTTGCTTCAATTATCTGCCGATGTGTTTGGTTATGATCATCAAGGGGTGTTACGGTTTCCTTGCCACCCTGAAAATTTTCAAAAAATTATAGATAAGCTATATAAGAAAAGATAGATATCTTGTCTTATACTATGATATGGTATGTATGTATTAATCTTATTGGGTGTAACTCGTGTATTGTTGCTACTATATTTGGTGACATATGCTAGATTGATGTATGTAACTTGTTTGAATTGGTTTTCCAGTTTTTATTTCTAGCTTTTTTGCTCTAGTGTTATACAATCAGATTACATAGTATAATACTGAGTTCTAGCTAGGTTGAAATTATATACTACTTCGTACCTGCTCAACTTTTGGTTTTGAGAGGTTGATGATGTATTTCTTTTGTAATATTATGAGAAAACCTTATTTAATCCGTTTCTTTTACTGCATTTATACAATTCTCATTTTTTTCATATACTTTTATAGTTCTATCTATTAATGTATGTTTTCTAAATACTTGGTTATATATATGTAGAAATTATTGAACTTCATATGTTTTTTTTTACACCTTAATTTCCTATGTTAATATAAAATTTGCACTGCCAGACTGCCTACAAATTAAACTACTCATCAGCTCTGTACTATTTTGGACATTGCGTGTATTTAAAAAAAAAAATTATACTCTATTTTACTATAGTTATTAGGAAAATTTGCAAATTGCAGCCATTTAAAATTCGTATTTTGCAAATTGCAGTCATTTAAAAAAAATTGCAAATTGCAGCCCAAAAGTTCATATAAATTGTAATTTGCAGTCCGATTCAACTTTTTCATCGGTTTACAAGTTGAAAAATTTTCGATTAAGGTTTTAGGGGCCATTTTAGTTCTTATGGGACTGAATTAAGCTCGAAATTAGCAAAAAAATAATGCAAGTATCTTGTTTTGCATAACAAAAATGTATCGATTTGTAGGAAAATGTAAATATGAGACACTTAGGTTTTTTTTTTGCTAATTCCGAGCTCAATTTGGGTCCTTAAGAACTAAAATGACCCCTAAAACCTTAACCGAAGATTTTTCAATATGTAAACCGATGAAAAAATTGAATCGGACTACAATTTACAATTTATACGAACTTTTGGGCTGCAATTTGCAAAAAAAAATTTAAATGGCTGCAATTTACAAATTTTCCTAGTTATTACTTATTACAGTATGAAATATTGTTGATATCATTCCAATAACCCAATTTTTGACCCGCTTAATTAGAGCAATATTTATATTTAGTTTACAGTTTTAAGTTTCAATTATTTTTTATATGTATTTATTCCTTCAATTGAGTTAATTGGCATGATTGGTTAATCAGGGAAGAAATAATTTAATTAGGTAAACTATCCACTCATCTCAGCGAAGATATAAAATTATGCATTTCCATATGAAGTATGACCCCCTCTCGCCCGTCTGGCATCTGCCCGCCCACCCGCCCATATTATGTATATGTATCTATAGATTTATGTACGCTATTTTAATAAGGATGATTATCAGTTTATCACCAAAGAAATCTCCTACAGTATTCAGCTATTTTCCAAATCTTCTCCGATATATTGCAGACAAAAGAATGCAAGATTAGCGCAATCATAGTTTCTTACTTTGCTTTTGGTATATGTTCTCTTGTATGTTCCTTTGAATTCGACCTGCTTTTATAATGTTTACTAATATATAGCACGCAAATGATGTAAAGTCAATAGTCAAGCTGCTTAAACAGCAATTTTTGACCATCTAGTAAGACAATGCGTGAATCCTCCAACTTTTCATTTGACTTATTATTGATGCTTATATGCTTATCAAGTTATCAATCATGTATTTGATCGTTTAATTTAGCAACTACTCCGTTGTAGAAACATTGCATACTACTAGAGTAGTTTTAATGCTAAGACCATGGATCGGTTACGAATTATGATACCAATTAAACTACAAAAAAGTACTTAATTATACCGTTATTTGTGGTTGTGGGTTGTACGCTTGGGATTTCTTGACATAGTGGTATGGAGAACGTGTGAGTAGTGATCGGTTTTTTTGGTTGGCAGGCTCCATGCTTGTGCATCGAATCGCACGCTGATAAACCTCTTCAGTGTTTGCTCCAAGTGCGATAAGCCTTGGGCGAGGTATGGTCTTCTGTGTTTAATTCCTAATGACGGTATTGATGTCCCTATAAATCTCTTGTTTCCGCCTGACATCCTTTGGGTGTTTGGTGGACCTTGTTGCAGGGTTCGTCCTCCAACCTAAACGGCGAAAACCAAGCGTTGTTGCTCATGTGTACGCTCTCTAATTGTGCCCTGGGATGCAAAATGTTGAGGGGAATGGGCGTTCATTTGTGGCAAACCCAATTAAGCGTTTTACGCTAAGCATGAACGACGTCTGTATACGAGTTGACTGTCTCTGTTAAAAGAAAGAGCTCATGTGTGCCAGTGTCGAACGAGGACTGCTACCTGGTCGATCCTGCCAGTAGTCATATGCTCGTCTCAGAGATTAAGCCAAGCATGTGTAAGTATGAACTAATTCAGACTGTGAAACTGCAAATGACTCATTAAATCAGTTATAGTTTGTTTGATGGTACCTGATACTCGGATAACCGTAGTAATTCTAGAGCTAATACGTGCAACAAACCCCGACTTCTGGAAGGGATGCATTTATTAGATAAAAGGTCAACACGGGCTCTGCCCGTTGATATGATGATTCATGATAACTCGACAGATCACACGGCCTTTGCGCCGGCGACGCATCATTTAAATTCATGCCCTATCAACTTTTGATGGTTGGATAGTGGCCTACTATCACAATCACTTTAGGCAAGGCCGTTGACCACTCCGCATAGGCGCACAAGGCCCGGCCTTCGGGTTTTCACTTGCCACGCAAGCAAGTGCATGCTTGATTCGGGAAAAACAAGCCAAGTGAGGCTAGAGTAGCTCACTACCATGTCTAAGGCATGTGAGCTTAGATCATGGTGCTAGCAAAGCCTTGGTCAGCTAGGCCTTGGGCCTATGGCTAGCACGTGCGCACTAAAAGATCCTCGAAGTGTTTGGATGAGCAAAATGGATCCGTAGCTTCGGAAAAAGGATTGGCTATGAGGGCTGAGCACAGGGGTCCCAGTCTCGAACCCGTCGCCTGTCGGCGGACTGCTCGAGCTACTTCCGTGGCGAGAGCGGGTCGCCGCGTGCCTGCCAGGGGATGGACTGGGAACGGTCCCTTCGGTGGCCTTCCCCGGGCGTCGAACAGTCAACTTAGAACTGGTACAAACAATGGGAATCCGACTGTATTAAAACAAAGCATTGCGATGGTCCCTGTGGATGTTAACGCAATGTGATTTCTGCCCAGTGCTTTAAATGTCAAAGTGAAGAAATTCAACCAAGCGCGGGCAAACGACGGGAGTAACTATGACTCTCTTAAGGTAGCCAAATGTCTCGTCATCTAATTAGTGACGCGCATGAATGGATTAACGAGATTCCCACTGTCCCTGTCTACTATTCAGCGAAACCACAACCAAGGAAATGGGCTTGGTAGAATCAGCGGGGAAAGAAGACCCTGTTGAGCTTGACTCTAGTCCGACGGCTTGCGTGTAGGTTTCACATACTTTTACAGCTTACTTTTTACGTGTATATATGTATATGTATATGTATATGAAGCCCATTACATGACAGAAAAATCATCTAACATGGTCAAGATACGATCGCTGATTAGTCAATGACATTAAGCAACTACTATGCATTTTAAACTAGTATGATGCTCAACATTATTTTAAATGTATAAATCCTCATAATCAGTCACATTCTCCAATAACAAGGACGCGGTTAGCTTACATTGACCCTATTATATTACATCCGTACATAAAATTAGTTAATTATAGATAATTGAGGAATGCATAAGCATAACCTATCATCAATCACCGGCGTTCTATTGATAGCGATCGATAGTCATCATATGCGACTAATTACCTATTTAAAAAAAAATAAAAAAATAAATTGACTATATATAACTGTTAGAGATATGAGATATTGGAAAATATATGAGTGATATCTGATATATTTTCTGTATCGATCTTATTAGAAGAATAATATATTTAGGTTTATTTTATATTAAGATATTATTTATAGAATATATTTAGGTTGATTCGAGCATATATTTTAAACCATTGATAATATCTTAACATAAACCATTGTTAAAATTTTATTCATCTAAATAATATCTTAACATAAAATAAATTTTACCTAAAAATTTCGCTGTGCAATTTTTTTCTTCTTTTTTGTGAGTTGATTCGAGCATGATATGAGTTTGGTTTTGCTCCAAAATAAAACCAATAAGAGATTTAAGTGTGGTTAACTCTAAAAGACCAATAAGAGATTTGAGTGTGATTTACTCTGAAAGACCAAAATATTTGAGTGTGGTTTACTCTGAAAGACTAATAAGAGATTTGAATGTGGTTCACTTTGAAAAACCAATATTTTGTTTGATGATTGATGGATTTGAAAAGAAAAAAACGTTCTCATCATTCAACAAGTGAAAATTTTTTTGAAGGTGTGTTAAGAATATGAGATATCGGAAAATATGAGTGATATATCTTCTGTATTAATCTTATTAGGAGAATAATATATTTAGGTTTATTTTATCTCTAAATATTATTTAGAAAATATATCTTTAGGATTTATGATTATAGTAGTGTATCTTTTAAGAATATTGTTTCCTATCTTATGTTCGTAAGTTTTGTATAAATACTCTACCTATTGATGAATAATAATCAAGCCATTCTATTTTATTTTCCCCCTATTTTGTCAATAACTATGTATAAGTTGAAGTTCTCCTTGGGCTACTCCATCAAAAAAAAAAAAAAAAAAAGTTCTTGTCAATTTGAGGCATAAGTTGAAATAAGTTTATTTTTTAAAATATATATTTACAAGTACATTAATTGGACTATACTTCATTGGTCTAACAATACGATCCCAACTTCACAAGTTTATTTTTGGTTGGTTGTTATTATTGTGGAATTAGTTAGCATTCTTCCTTGCGTTTGGTTATCATTGATGATGCTTTCAAATATAGTATACGGAGGGAGTAATTGTTAATACTACCTTCGTTTTTTTAGTTGACACCGTTTGACTTATACACAATTCACACTACACTTTGACTCGCTTTTGTGATTTATAAATACGATAAAATATAGTCATGGGATCTTGTTTGAATCGCCTTGGTGTATATTTTATTAATATTCACTTTTTATAATTTTACAATGTTTATAATTTGAGTAAGCGTTAAAAACAAACGTTGGCAAGCGTGATAGTATGTTATTGTATCTACAATGATGCACACACAATATTATTCTAGAAGAGCTAGAAAAAAAAAAAATCTAAATTGTTATCAAGTGATTTGGCGTGGATATATAATCGGTTTTGCAACTAACTGTCTAGTTAAAAACTGATGGATAAGGTATTATCAAACTGCTATATGGGGAGGGTAATTAATGTTCCGTACAATTGTGTTAATAATAGCATGCTACAATTAAAGAGAATGGTGAGGATTATAGAGAAAACAGGAGAAGAGTGAAGGTGGAAGAAAATGAGAAATCAATGTTGAAGGTAAAGGAGAGAAAATACATAAATATCGATAGGTTATTCTAGAATGCATGGTGGAGAAAATTAGAGAAACTTAAACCTTGTAATTAACCACATGTAAGGGAGAGAGTGTTCAATTACTTTGCCATTAGCATAAATATAGGGCATGATAACTGAATAATGTTAAACAAGTACTCCTCAAGATATCAAATATATATTACTTCTCATTGATCCTCACAAACAAAAAGTAGAAATAAGGAAACAAAAATAAAACCCCAATCAAAAAGAGTAAAAAAAAAAAAAAAAAAAAAAAAAAAAAAAAAAATTGAAAATGACGAAAATGTTATTTGTTATCATGAGTTGCTTAATATTAGGGAAGAATAATGTACTAGTATTAGGGGAAGGCGAAGCAGGTGCGGGTGGGCAAAACCCGTTTGGGTTCCAATTACCTCAATTTGGTGGAGAACAGCAAAAATGTTTTACATCCTTTGAAAGCGAGGGTAAACAAAGTTGCTTACAAGACTTGAGTAACTCATTCCAAAGCCATCAGATAACCTTGTCTCAATCTTGTTGTTCTTTCCTTGCTCAAATTGATGATGCTTGCAAGTCTGTCGTACACTTTGAAAACCCCTTTTTTGAATCCCTTGTCAAGCAACACTGCGCTGAATCCGCTGGCTCTGTGGAAGGTACAGGTGCAGACGCAGGTGCAGGTGCTGCAACTGATGGTGCAGCTGCATCCAATGAGGGTGCATCAACTGATGGTGCATCCACAGCCACAGGTACAGCTGATGGTGAATCCACGCCCACAGGTACAGATACAAGTGCACCTACACCGACATCTTTGGCTACGCCTACAGACACAAGTGATGCACCTACTGCCTCTGAATATAGCGATCAATCAGGAGGTAATGCCACTCCAGCAGATGGCCCAACTTTAAGTTGATTAGAGGGATTACTACACACATACCGTATACTATCTATATCATGCAACAATAATCTTTGATTATCGTTTATCGTAATGTAGCCTAATTTTGATAATAGTCCTTAGTTTATGTTAGCATTACTAGCACTATAGTTTGAAGTTGCATGGCCAACGTAACTTAGCAAGTAGTGAGTTCAATATATTCTTGATTTCCACAGTTTATGCTTGAGTTGTAATAAAGTAGACCAAACATTGCAAATGAAACTTAATAATGTGGAATAAACTACATTCTTTATCCCAATTTTTGTCTACTTATATAATCCATCAACCAAGTTACATACATAATTTCGCTCCTTTCGGAACCAATATGGTGTAGAATTTGAGATACCGCAACAGAATTTATAAATTCTTTTGAGAAAACTGTCATAATTTTCTTTAAAAAAAAATCGGTGTAGATACTACTGTACAAATTATTCTTAGGAAGGATGAATATGGCATTCAATTAGACAATTATAGCCATAAAAGTTGGCACTACATGAAATGTTAGGTATTATCAGGACTGTAACAAAATAACAATTCAATCTACTTCAAAATTTTAATCCTCTGTTTTATCTGAAATGTTTAACTTAATTAGACTTCAGAGATAAAAGGCAAATACTAGTAGTCTAGCACTACATCCAAACATCAATCAGTTTTGTAACCTATCCCAACATAAACTCTAGCACCAAACAATAATATAACAAGGACCAAATAATCTCAATCCACAAAAATTACTGGACATACACCTTCGCATCTACCAAATAGTGTCCTGCTGATAACTACCAACGATTACAATCCTTCCTATAACCTGCAGGAAGTTCTGAAGAATAGTGGGCCCTTCCTCTACCTCTGCCTCTACCCATAAACTGATGAGGGGTATTTGCATAGCAAGGCCTAAACTGCATTGATGATCCCTCACCGCCTTGGGAAGAGAAACTAGGCCTTGTCTGTGATACTGTTCTCCAAGAGGCATTTTCATCTCGCACCACATTACTTGAATGCCAGAAACTATTGTGTGTGCTGGTATTACATGTTCCATTGTATGTTGATTTACTTGTGTGACTATTCTGTATTCTCATATTTTCAAATCCCCTACTAACATTTCGAGGGAATGTTGATGTAGACTGTATGTTCTCAGATTGATGCACATACTTCAAATTGTCATTATTGCGAGGTAGGTATGAATTTGAGCTGATTCCTCTTCCTCTACCTGCACTTTCAAAGCCACGACCTAGGCCAGCAGTTTTGATTGTAGTCCCAGCATCAACAGCTGCATTCTTATTGTACCTTTCAAAACGTCTACAAAAATTATTGTTATTTATTCTCTTCCAAATCAAGTCAAAGAAAAAATGATGAAATGCTAATTTAACATACCTAGTGATTGGGGGCCTGCCACTATATTCATGCCAAGGAATTGTCTCCATGATGTCATTCTCAAATACTTTCTGTCATATTCACTTGTTAGTAATCGGTTTGAAGTTCAGATTTTTTTTAGGAAACATTGAAATAAGAACCTGAATGGGACGCTGGATGCCTTCAAGCAGGCGAGGTATCTGAAAGCGTTCAGCAGGCAACTCAAAATTGAAGCACCTGATGACATGAAGAAACTTCAACTAAGAATTTGATGCACATTACTACTAATCAAAGAGCTAGATGTGTATATGCAAAAAAATCCCTCTTCTTTCAACTAACATGATATCGTCTTCAATTGTTGTTTGCTGCTGCAGATAACACCCCAAGTCCCCTTTGAAACTAAGCAAAAGAATAAAAGCATATTTAGCATTGGGCATGTAAATTAAGCACTAATATATGCTTAGTATATGATCAAAGAAAATTAGTAGTAGTAGAAATCAAAACCTGTTTGAATCCCTTGTGAATGACTTGTTAGTTGTCTGAACATTTCTTATAGCTTCGCTCTCCTGCATAATGTAGTTTACTTTTTATTATCATGAAAGCAGGGAATCCTTCCAAATTGCACCAATAGATTATAAATCTTACCCTTAGCTTCACCTCCGCTAGTTTGGTGGCATTCAAGAGTTTTTTCTCATCTATGAAAGGAAGCTTACAAATACCCTTTCCCACACAAAAATAAAAAGGCACATTTGCGGATTAGACAACTTTCCGATATCATATACTCCTTTAACATATATAAAGATCCATCAATGCATTAAGAAAGTGGGGAAGATATGAAGAAATAATAAATACCTGCCACAAAAATCTTTTACCATCCACATCAACTTCAAAATCTAAATCATTGAAGTGGATTAGAATTCAGTAAATTCACATTTAACTATCGTATATGGTAAAATTAGTGAAGTTTGGCGACTTTTTACCTATAGGATAAAACTCAACGATACTAGAGCAGCTATTTGTCATCAAATCTTGATAAACAGTTGGAAGTGCATGTGCACTGCATTAATCATTAGTCAGTTACATCCAAAATCGCGTTTGTTGTTCATTTTAATCTTGAATTAAAGGACCTGATCAAGCGACAGTCAAGAATAACCTTTTTGGTGGAAGCATGGCCATTAACTGGTCAAATGGCTTAAATGGAGAACCCTTTTCAAATCTTACTTTAACACTAGCTAAACCCTTTAGATCCGAAGCAAAAGGTCCATAATAGTTTGGATAAAACCTGTAGTAATGCACTTGTGGGATTAAGTAGATGAGTTTTGATAAAAAAAAAAATAACAAAAGGCAGGATATTTCACCAAATTTAATTATATAGTAGTAGGTATTTTCCAGTGGTGTTGTGTTGCATTACCAATCCCAAGATGGTACACCAGAATAATAGTAAAGCAAGACCCAACATAGTCCTTCTGTATACTTGTGAACCTGCAAGCCAACAAGCCAGCCAGATGATGTTCTTCTACCTAATGAAGCAATTACATAATCATTGAGCTGAGCAACATCAAAATATCACTTACTATTTCCTTTCTGACATTTTCCATTTTATTGGAATCTTCCACAATGAATTTATGTTTATAATATCTCAGCTTCCAACCCAATGAACCTAGTTTCACCTGAACAATTGTGAAGTTGACTATTATTAGCAACAAAAACCAATCAGATCAATATGAAACTGATCAAATTGTGGTACAAATTGCAAGTGTTACCTTATCTGTTCCTAAATTGCCATCTCTGAAAAGATCAGACTTTTTACGAATGCAAATCTTCAGCCTCTCATTCAGCTCCATTGTATTTCGTAACATCTAAGTCAGCCATTTAGACAATATTTAGTCAAGTGAAACAAATTGTTAAGCAATAACGTATTTCCTTAAGGTATATACTCATGGATATGACAAAACTTGAGGCGGCATTCCATTTAATAACAATTATCAACAGTCGCCAGTCAAGGACACATAGGACAACATGACTTACTTCCTGAATATCTGAACTTGAGTTATTTTCTGAAGTGATTCCAGTTTCGTGTTCCATCAGATCCGTCACACCAACCTCAAAATCTTCTTCATGATCATGTTCACTGGCATCCTGAGAAGTAAAGAAACATGTAAATATCTTACAGCATTGCTTTATATAAGATGAAACCTTGCATAGAGGGACGTATAAATGGACTCAAAATTGTGGATGAAATAACGCACAAATTCTAATAATTGAGCAGAGATCCTTCTCAGTCTTTTGTCCCTTATCTCAGTCCGTTTCTTGAAGATCTTTTCTTCATAACTTCCAACATACAAAATAAACTTCTCAACTCTCTTCAGCTTGACGTAACCAGAATGCTTGTCATTCACCTGACCGGTTGAGATTCAAGGTTGTATAAATTAGTAAGTTGAAAAACCAATATATACTAAACGAAATTCTACTTCCAAATAAACTTCTTACTCTTTGCATATCAACCAAATATCCACCTAGATTTTTGAACTCCTTCTTATAGATATGCATGAGCAAGTCTATAGCATTCTGTCATTCAAGAGTGAAGAGAAAATCATCAATAATAATTTATTAGTTGACGAGTAAAATTCTGTTTTTTTTTTTTTTTTTTTTTTTTTTAATAAAAAAAAAAATTTGTGTAATGCTAACCTCATGTATATCCAAGGTGGGCATGTGAGGCAAGAAGTCATTCCCAACAAAGAAACACAAGAACACAAAGTCATCAATAATTCGCTCTATGTCATAAACAAAATTTTCTGGTGGATCATCTATCTGTATGTCGAGCTCCAAATATTCCCTCAAAATCCAAATTTGTAGAAACTGGAGATTAAAACATGTAGTGGTGAGGTTTAACTGAATTAAATTAAGTATTTGTGACGATTATTACAAGGTTAAAAAAACATTGTTACAAACCTGATAGTGTTGAGGTTGAATAAGCAAAGATAGCATTTTATCACCTCTGTCAAAGAAAGGTTTTGGCCTATCCCCGCTTGATTTGGCCAAGGAATGCTGTGTAGCATTCTGAATACTTGTAATAAGTGTTACTTCAGAAATAGGGGCCTGTTCTTGGATTGTAAGCACATCCTATAACATAACACAATTAATAAAACAGCAACATAATAATAAAAGTATAGCAATATGCAAATAATCACAATGTGTACGTGAAATATCTATCAATTTAGTTTTCTGCAAACATTTTTGCATTGCTATATGTTTTCAGATGAATTATGTATTATACTCCGTACATGTTTATCTCCTATATCACTAATTGGGCACAAAGTGAGAAATAAAAATTTAGGAAAATATATTATTACCTCCCTTAAAATTGAAAAATGCAATTCATGGGTAGCCAATGCAAGCATTATCAAGTCTGCATCCTGAAATAGTTTAAAGTGATTGAACCGTAGAGGAGAAAATGGAGTTACATTAGTGTATGTACATGTATATACCGTACCAGTCCATATAGGCAGTGCCTTGTATTGGGATCATATCCTGGAAGGCTACGCTTAGTGCGTATAAAAGAAGTGATTTTGTGCTCTCCTTCACCGGGAACAGTATCATCAGAAAGAATAACCTGACATGATACAAAATTTGTATAAAGCGAATAATGAAGTAGTTGTTGATATGAAAGCGAATAATAATATACCTCAAGTGGGGACCAAAGAGGATCATTCTTAAGCTTTTGGCGGATATACAAGTTCAAAGCCCTAGACAAGTCGTGCATAAATTCAGTTCCGGGAGTGATGACATTAGAATCTGATACTTGAGATTCTTGCTTCGGCAACACTTTTTTTCCTTTCCTTCCAAATTCATCCCTTAGCCTCTTTTCTTCTGCCTCCTAGAAGTTGCCATAACACAACAGAACAGTGAACACTCTGTTCATTTATTTTCAATGTTAATAAGATACAAAGTAAAAGAATGTATGGCGGCATTAAGGCTCACAGCAATGTCACTGTCTTTAGCATTCTTGAAGCGACGAGCGCGTTGTTGGTTCATTTTGGCCCTAGGCGCAACTCCATCTACACAAGTATAGCAGTGGCACAACATGAGCATGCAATGCAAACATAGGTGGTATGAATTATGAGAGAATTGATATGAAAATAAACAAGAAGCGAAGCCACTGACCAATAGCAAGATAGAGTAATTTCCGGGGTCTTACAATACTGATTAGACGATCTATGTAAGCATAGATATTTTCAAACACTTGTTCAAATGTGGTGGGAGTAGCAATCTAGCATATTCAAATTAAAACATGTAACAAACATGAGAAATAGAGATTGCTAGTGATCAATTACAATTAACAAATGATTGAGGAACTAACAAGATGAGGAGGATGAAAACAAGGATGGATGATTCCATTCATGTCAAGATATAAATTGTCAAATTCCAAACCGTTGGGGTTTTTGTTGTTGTTGCTATTGTAAGGCTTGTGTTCTTCAATGGCGTTAACAACAATTTTAGGATACTTGTCAACTAGCCATCTGTAAAACGCTGGAACTCCCATTGCACAAAAGGGATCACTAGAGAAGAGATGAACTCTAAGCAAAGAAAATGAATGGAATTATATAGAACGTATAAACTTCTGAACTATGGTCTATGGTGGATGGGCAATAAATTACTCCGTAGTTAGCCAAAAAATATGGCAGTTTCCCTTTTAACGAAGAGTCTATTCACGGTTTTCTAAACAGGCGTGTGTTATATTACACATTCATATTCTTTTTTTTTTTTATTTTTTTTTTTTATTTAACATAACTTAAGACATAGGAAATAACAAAATAATGGTAGAGATTAGACTGTTTAAATTTTACAATAAAAAATGTCCATCCATTATCCTTTGCTTCGTTAATTGTACAATCTAAAGTTAGGATTCTGCTAATCCGAATCACTCCATTACTTAGAATTAGATACTTACTTCACCACATTACACCAATTTGTAACTACACAGTTAAAGCTTGGAGAAATCCCATCCAATAACTATGTATCCACTAACTTCCCAATTTATATTTTTATAAAAAGCTCCATTATTTGTAGTAAAAAAGGTGGTGTATATTGGTTTTCATCGTTGTCGTGTTGGAGGCCCAATATTAAATGCCCTTAATGTAAAACCAAACCGAACAACACTGTTATGTAAATCCAATCAAAAAGCCCATATTCTAAAAGGCTGAAAGCAGAGTCATCCCGTTTAGTTAGCCTTTGCTAGAAAGGTCCACCATCAACCATACATCAACGATAGGGGTGCTAAACTTTTAAGCCGACCCGTATATTGGTTACTGAACCTATGGAAAGATTGGTAAAAAAAAAAAAAAAAAAAAACAAGAGTTTTATTTAAACTAGAATTTTTTTTTTCGTAGAGTAAATATGCTTAAAAATAGATCACTCTACAATTAACTACCTACAATAACATAAAATTTTACGACTAAAACTAATTACTCGTACTTTAAAAAACTCTTAAATTATGTACTTTAATAGGAATACTACAGCTGTCAAATTGGGTAAATGGGTCGGGTCAACTCGGGTTGGGTCAATTCAGATTAATTCCATAACCTATGCAGGTCGGGTTTGGGTTGGGTCATGCTTGGGTCGGGTCACGTCGGGTCATACTTCTTATCGGGTTTATGCCGAGTTCATAACAAGTCGGGTTACATTCGGGTCGGGTGAACAATAGATCGGGTTTAATTCGGGTTTTCCCGGGTTAAAACGGGTTAGGGTAATTCTTGGGTTCTAGTCGGGTTCGGTTCAAGTCAATAATATTTGGGTTAGAATCAGGTCGGGTCATTCTCGGGTTTGAGTCAGGTTCGGTTCAAGTCAATAATTTGCAGATTATAATCAGGTCGGGTCATTTTCAAGTCGGGTCATTCTCAGGTTTAAGTCGGGTTCGGTTCAAGTCAATAATTGCGGGTTATAATTAGGTTGGATCATTTCCAAGTCGGGTTATGTTCAAGTCAATAATTTGCAGGTTACAATCAGGTCGGGTCATTTCCAACTCAGGTCATATTCAGGTTCAACTAAGTATAAATAGATAATTATCATTTTTATCAAATTAATTATTTCCTTTGACTATAATATATATGGCAATATACTAGGGAACTATAGTTTATAATTTAGGAAGATAATTTTCTCCTTTGACCATATAAGTATACAACAAATATATACTATATTTAACTCTTAAATTTGAGGATGATGCTCTTATATTTCTTTTGCTGGCCTGGACTGACTTGGTCTCTCAAGACAAAATGCTTTGATTAACAATAATAAGGTGTTCTAAATTGCATTTAAGGTGATTTGAAATCGGGTCAGGAACAATTTGGGTTGAAGTGAGGTCGGGTCAATAACAAGTCGTGTTAATTTCGAGTCGAGTTAGTAACAGATCGGGTTGAATTTTTGGGTTGGGTAAGTAAAAGGTATTGTAAAATTCGGGTCGAGTCAATAACAAGTCGGGTTTGTAACAGGTTGGGTTAAATTCAGGTCGGGTTAGAAACGGGTCGGGTTGAATTCAGGTCAGGTTAATAACAAGTCGGGTTAAATTCGGGTTTTGACGGGTTAAAACGGGTTTTGGTCAATTTCGGTTCAAGTTAGGTTCGGTGCAAGTTAATTAAATTGGTCGTTATAAACCGGTAAATTGGCCGTTTAAAATCAAATTGAATGGTTCCACACACCCTATTGGACTCCCAGAGGGTATTAGGGACCATGATATACATTTCGACAATTTTTATTTCCGGGCGAAAAAAAAGTCAAAAAAATCAAAAATTGAAGGCTAATATCCATGCTTTTTGAGAAATTTTAGAGGTTTCGGGGCCCGGTTTTGAAAAGTCTTGAAATTTTATGGGATACATCTCGGGGTAATATAATTCCGTTTGGAACCACATATGATCATCATTTGTTGTCATAAATGTTCGTGGTAGGCTTGAATTAATAAAATCGATGCAAGTTGTAAACCAGTAAATTGTCAATTAAAAGAAAATTGGATGGTTCCACCCACTTAATTAGACTCCAGGAGAGTATTAGGGACCATGGTAAACATTTCGGCAATTTTTATTTCAGGGCCAAAAAAATCAAAAAATTTCAAAATTGAAGGCTAATATCCACGCTTTTTGAGAAATTATGGAGGTTTCGGGGCTTGGTGTCGAAAAGGCTAGAAATTCTAGGGAATACATCTTGGGATCATTTAATGTCGTTTGGAACCATATATGATCATTATTTGTTTCATAAATATTCGTGGTAGGCTTGAGTTAATGAAATCGGTGCAAGTTATAAACCGGTAAATTGGTCGTTTAAAGGAAAATTGGCTAATTCCATCCACCCAATTAGACTCCCAAATGGTATTAGGGACCATGGTAAACATTTCGACAATTATTATTTCCGGGCGAAAAAACAGTCTAAAAATTCCAAAAGTTAAGACTAATATCCATGCTTTTGGAGAAATTTTGGAGATTTTGGGGGCCCAGTATATATAAACCTTGAGATTCTAGAAAATACATCTCAGGATCATATATTGTAGTTTGGAACCATATATGATCACTATTTGTTTTCATAAGTGTTCGCGGTAGGCTTGAGTTAATGAAATCGGAGCAAAATGTAAACTGGTAAATTGGCCGTTTAAAGGCAAATTTGATGGTTCCACCCACCCAATTGGACTACCGGATGGTTTAGGGGGTAAAAATTTTGGCAATTTTTATTTTCTGGCGAAAAAAAGTCAAAAATTTCCAAAATTGAAGGCATGTCCACGCTTTTTGAAAATTTTTGGAGGTTTCAGGGCCTGCTGTCGAGAATTTAGGGAATACATCTGGAGGACATATAATGTCGTTTGGAACCATATATGATCATTATATTTTGTCATAGATGTTCGTGATAGGCTTGAGTTAATGAAATCGGTGCAAGTTGTAAACCGGTAAATTAGTCGTTTAAAGGCAAATTGGATGGTTCCACCCACCCAATTGGGCTCCCGAAGTAAATTAGGGAGCATGGTAAACATTTCGACAATTTTTATTTTCGAGCGAAAAAGTCAAAAAAATTCCAAAATCAAAAGGTAACGTCCATGCTTTTTGAGAAATTTTGGAGGTTTTGAGGCATGTTGTCGAAAAGCCTTGAAATTTTGGGGATACATCTCAGGGTCATATAATGCCGTTTGGAACCATTTATGGTCATTATATGTTGTCATAAATGTTCGTGGTAGGCTTGATTTAATGAAATCGGTGCAAGTTGTAAACCGGTAAATTAGCAGTTTAAAGTCAAATTGGATGGATACACCCACCAGATTGGACTCCTGGAGGGTATTATGGATCATAGTAAACATTTCGGCAATTTTCATTTCCTGGCGAAAAAAGTCAAAAATGAAAAAATTCAACGTGAACATCCACGCTTTTTGAAAAATTTGGAGTCTTCGAGGCCCGGTGTAAAAAAGTCTTGAAATTCTAGGGAATGCATTTCAAGGTCATATAATGTCGTTTGGAACCATATATGATTACTATTTGTTGTCATAAATGTTCATGGTGGGCTTTAGTTAATGAGACCAGTGCAAGTTATAAACCGGTAAATTGGTCGTTAAAAGGCAAATTGGATGGTTTCACCCACCCAATTGGACTTCTGGGGGTTATTAGGGATCATGATAAATATTTCGGCAATTTTTATTACCGTGCGAAAAAAGTCTAAAATTCCAAAATTGAAGACTAATATCCACGCTTTTTGAGAAATTTTGGAGGTTTCGAGGCCTGGTGTCGAAAAGGCTTGAAATTTTGGGGATACATCTCGGGGTCATATAATGCCGTTTGGAACCATTTATGGTCATTATATGTTGTCATAAATGTTCGTGGTTGGCTTGATTTAATGAAATCGGTGCAAGTTGTAAACCGGTAAATTGGTCGTATAAAAACAAATTAGGTGGTTCCACCCACCCAATTGGAATCCCGAAGATTATTGGGGACCATGGTAAACATTTCGGCAATTTTTATTTCCGGACAAAAATAAGTCAAAAAATTCCAAAATTGAAGGCTAATATCAATGTTTTTTGAGAAATTTTGGAGGTTTCTGGGCCCGGTGTCGCAAAGGCTTTAGATTTTAGGGGATACATCTCAGGGTCATATAATGCCTTTTGGAACCATAAATGATCATTATATGTTGTCATAGATGTTCGTGGTGGACTTGAGTTAATGAAATCGGTGCAAGTTGTAAACCGATAAATTGGTCGTTTAAAGGCAAATTGGATGGTTCCACCCACCCAATTGGACTCCCAAAGGGTATTAGGGATCATGGTAAACATTTCGACAATTTTTATTTTTGAGCGAAAAAAGTCAAAAAATTCCAAATTTGAAGGCTAATGTGCATGCTTTTTGAGAAATTTTGGAGGTTTTGAGGCCAGTTGTCGAAAAGCATTGAAATTTTGGGGATACATCAGGGGGTCATATAATGTCGTTTGGAACCATTTATGGTCATTATATGTTGTCATAAATGTTTGCCATAGGCTTGAGTTAATGAAATCGGTGCAAGTTGTAAACCGGTAAATTGACAGTTTAAAGTCAAACTGGATGGATACACCCACCAGATTGGACTCTTGGAGGGTATTATGGACCATAGTAAAAATTTCGTCAATTTTTTTTTTCGGGCGAAAAAAAGTAAGAAATTTAAAATTTTAATGCGAATATCCACGCTTTTTGAAAAATTTGGAGTTTTGGGGCCCGGTGTCTAAAAGTCTTAAAATTCTAGGGAATACATCTCGGAGTCATATAATGTCTTTTGGAACCATATATGATCATTATTTGTTGTCATAAATGTTCGTAGTAGGCTTTAGTTAATGAAATCAGTGCAAGTTGTAAACCGGTAAATTGGTCGTTAAAAGGCAAATTTGATGGTTCCATCCACCCAATTGGACTTCCTGGGGGGTATTAGGGATCATGATAAATATTTTGGCAATTTTTATTTCTGTGCGAAAAAAAAAGTCAAAAAAATTCCAAAATTGAAGACTAATATCCACGTTTTTTGAGAAATTTTGGAGGTCTCGGAGGCCGGTGTCAAAAAGTCTTGAAATTCTATGGGATATATTTCGGGGTCATATAATGCCGTTTTGAACCATATATGATCATTAGTTATTATAAATATTCGTGGTAGGCTGGAATTAATAATGAAATCGGTGCAAGTTGTAAACCGGTAAATTGGTCGTTTAAAGGAAAATTGGATGGTTCCAACCACCAAATGGGACTCCCGGACGGTATTAGGGACCATGGTAAACATTTCGACAATTTTTATTTCCTCGCGAAAAGTAAAAAAAATCCAAAATTAAAGGCTAATATCCATGCTATCTAAGAAATTTCGAAGGTTTCAGGGCTGGTTTTGAAAAGAATTTAGATTTTAAAGGATACATCACAGGTTCATATATTGTCGTTTGGAACCATAAATGATCATTATATGTTGTCATAAATGTTTGTGGTAGGCTTGAGTTAATGAAATCGGTGCAAGTTGTAAA